GAGTGCGCTTATATTCATCAAACTTCTTTCAATTATTCGAACATATCGTGAATTTCCTATCGACATACCCTTTAATTAAGGAAAAAAAAGTTCGCTTGAAATTAAATTCCGTGATAATGTGAAAAAAGATGACCTCTCTGAAAAGGATATATCAATTAAACAGTAAAAAAAGAATTTTTTCCCATTCAATTGTAATTAACGTGGTTGTAAAGCTGCCTGTATTGTTCTCTACATTGCAAATTTTTTTCCCTCTTTTCAGCTTCCTTCTATTACTTCACTTATATTACTTTCTCGCTCGTTCATCCGTGATGAATTTTTCATTTGACATTCCGCGCGAATCTGTCCTCGGTAAAATATTTTACTCAATACTACACATTGGCCATTATTTTACTTAAATCAATGTGATATACTTAAAAAATAGTGGGATACTCTTCTTCGATTCACTATCCCCTTTATCCCATTGTACTCGCGGCGCTTCTCAATATTCTCGGGCATGAGAAATCATGGCACGCGTGCTGCGCACGCATTTTGCGTTTCCAATACATCTTTTCACGGTTCGTTATGTCTTCTCTCCGAGGGGTTAATTCGTCGGTTTCACAGATAGATACCTCCAATGCTCTAACAATGTGTAACCCAACGCAACGTATTATTCGTATCTCGTTACAGGCCTCAATTTTTTTTTCTCTTTTTTAAAGATGCATTTTTTATAGTTTATTTTTCCAGCTAGATATTCGCCCGAACAATGAAATTCAGACGAATAAAAACAATGGCGCGTTTCACAGAATGAATCGACTAAATAATGGTAACGATAGAGGAGAGGAAAAAAAAAGCGTAGCCGAGATAGCGTCAATTCAAGCCCTAATTGCTCCATTACCATAACTATTCAACTTTAGGTATTCTTGAACAATTGCCAGGCACCGGCAAAAAAGTAGGACACAAAGGGGTGAGAAAGTTCCATCAAACTTACTCCGCGCGCGCGCGCGCAAAGGATCATTATCCGCATCTGATTTTCTTTCAAAAGTGGCGCAACTGCGCGTCCAGCGAGAAGATAAAAAAAGGAGAGGAGTCCCCTTCTCTCTTTTCACAGCGTGGATGCGATTAGTCGATGATGCACAGGTAAGCTGCCACAGGGGGTCTCTGAGTAACGCGAGCCGCAAAGAAATTCCCGTCGGCTGTATGCACTCTCGCGATCCTTCTGTGTTTACACGCTGAGTTTACGCGCGGATTGACGCGCGATTGTTGATTTTTTCTCTCCAAGCTTTCCAAGGAGGGATTTTCGTCGATTAATTTTTCCGATGTATTGTATGACGATCATTAGGTTTACGTAACCTTTACATCTGCCCACCTAAAAAATCCGGAATGTAAATCACAAGAAAATCTTACTATTATTATTATTCCGAAATTTTTCGTGTAAATGAGGTACATCTGCTATTATAGTACAAAGCGCGGTAGCAAGCATTTCAACGAATTGAGAGCACACGGCCCTTGTCTAAACACCAGTCGATTGGAAACCACTTAGCGTTCGTTTCGAAAATTCTGTTCGACCACAACAACAGCAAGACAGCGCTGAGCGGTGTAAGAAAAAGAAAAAAGAAGAAAAATCGTCGGCAAGCACTCCCTTGTATCGTCGTCAATCGAAATCGATTTTCTCAACGCTTGACCGCGTGTCCACTTTCTCGACGTAAAAGTACGCCGCGCGCGCGCGCGCGCGCACACACATACACACCAGCACACTTCACTTTGTACGCCTAGTGCGTAAGAGGATTATATGCTTTTCCTCTCTCTTGCGCGCGGAGAAAAAGATCGTAGAGAATCAGTGAAAAAATATAAGGAAACCCGCGCACTCCTGTTCAGCGGGAAAGCGAGATGGCAGAAAGCTCCTCTCTTTCTCTCTCTCTCTCTCTCTCCCTGCATGCTTTGACGGTACCAAGGATTACCATCGCAATAGTGCTGAAAGTATATATACTACTGTACGTATGCGGCGGACAGTTGAGGGAGAGAGAGAAAATTTTTACGCGAGAGCCCTCTTTGCTGACATCGCGCTGAGGAAATGAGATAAAAACCCATGTGAGAGAGAAATACCAGATTTTTTGGTTGCTACTGCTTGGCTCTCTCTCTCTCTCTCTATCTCTTTCTCTCTAAGCTCGGTTAAAAATTTATAGACATGGTTCGTTTTCCTGGAAATTGACAAGACTTTTGTCAAATCCTTAACTGAAAAACGCAAATTTAATACTTTATCTATTATGTTTATGCAAACCTGTGGATATTAATGTATGTGTTTATGTTGAGCTGTGCGGAGCATATTATCAATTTTCAAGATTATGTTCGTAAGTTTTTGTACACCCGAATGACCTCTTTTTATTTACTTACTCAATTCTTATGCTAGATTTGGATTTAGCAACCTCGAAATCAGTTGTAAACTAATTGAAATTGTAATCGATTAAGAATTATTAAATTTATCTAACATGTGTGCACTATCAGTTTTCTTTCAAGACCATATGGGTTGAGACTTTCTTTTTGGATCCCACTTTGAATAACTTAAAAACTCAAAATCTATATAAACATTTAACTAAAGTATTAAGATATGAACGTTGTAATATGCGATTAATTTTCAGTTAAGGGGTTAATTGTTGAGAATATATTAGTGTTTATTTATGATCTGAAAAATCTGTAGGAAATGCAAAAATCTAAGATTTTTTATTCAGAAATATTTAGTCTAAAAATATAAATATATAATTTTTTTATGATGTATGTATATGAATGCCTAATGTATATTATATGTTGTTGAAAAACTCATCCGTTGAGAGCTCAAAAGTATTTTTACGAATAAAAACGTTATTTTTTTATTTCTTGAAGTCTCATTCAGCAGATTTTGTATCTTTCATTATGTAACCATCATTTCTTTTATTAGTTTATAGATTTTTATTAATGTACAAACAAATATCGTTTTCTACAATTAACAATATTTTTTTATTGATAGATACCGTGACGAGATCATTAAATCTATATTGACAAGATGTCAAGAAATAAAGAACTTATGTTTTCAATAATACAAAAATACTCCTCAATTTCAGCAGATCATTTTGACAAAAATATGAATTCTTTTTTATTAAATTCCCAAATATTGTTTTTAACTTCCAGAATAGTAAAATAATAGAGATTTTCCACATTTGCTGAGGATAAAAGCTCGTAAGAGAGATAAAGTAAAGATTTAATGTTGTTATCAAATATGAGAACTAAATGTTTGCCGCTTCAAAAAACCACCATATGAAATCTTTACCGGAGATATAATTAGTTATACTCGTATTTGTAAAAACTCAGAAAATATATGCTCTATAGTTGGTTTGAATGTTATTCTCGCTGGTCGAAAATAGCATCAACAAAGATAATTTATTTCTATTGCAGTTTCAATAGAACTGCATTTCATTCTTCGTGATTACTTTTCGAAAAGTAAAGCCAAATAATATCCGTATAGAATAAAATTTCAATTACACTACCTCCCAGCGTAGTTAAGAGAACTAAACAAACGATACACTAAGCCAAAGTCAAGTCATCAACGGCGGTTGCGTAATTTCAAAAGCTTGATGATTATTTACCTTGCCGTTGCTCATGCGCGCGCGCGTGTGTGTAGAAGAGAGGGGGAAGGGCTGCATTTAACGTGTCCGCAATGCGCGTCGAGCGCCATTAAAGCTCTCCGCGCGCCGCATAACTTCACCCTTCCTCTGCTGTTAGCTGCCGCCGTGTTTCTCTTCTCTCCAAATTGTGACGCGTATATACACACAGCCACACGTAGTGTATGTGTCTGCCACCTGCGCGTTTGCTCGTAGGGTCACGTACTCGCGTTTACCGCGGAATACAAAAAAAAGATTGGAGAGAAAAAACCACGAGGCAACCCTGCAAAGAGAGTTATTTGTTTTTCGCTTGCTGGCTTTTTAATTACCAGATAACTTGCCAGGGTGTTTTCTTGCGATAGTAGCATACTACTGCATATGGGTGGTTTTTTTGTGGAGAAGTGTGGTTACTTTCGTTAGATCTGATGATCGGTGACAGCGTCTCTATTTTTTTGCGATTTTTTGACACTTATTAAAAGAAAAATTATTGTCAAACAATTTTACGAGCTAAATATTGGGTCAATAGTATTAACGTTATTGAATATAACATTTTTTTAAACCAACAGTCGAACCGTCTAAATTGTATGTGCAACAAATGATCTTAAATTCTTGCAATTAACTCATCAAAGCCAATGTGAAATTTCAAATTAAAGATACAAAAATATTTCTGTTGTAATACCTCGATTCAAAATCTCCGAATATTTTCCAGAAGCTATAAGATACTCTAGAGATGAAACTCTTGTTGTTTAAAAAAAATCTTACTTCATGAACTCGGTATCATACAAAGAAATTAGCAAAAAAATGAACACAGAGCAGGAAAAAAAACGCGCTCGCCAATATAATGCTATCCAACCAGCAAACTAAGAAGCAAAAAGAATCGAAAGCACGAAAAGATATATCATCGACAATATGATTTCCTACTAGCGAGACATCTCATGCACGGCATATACATAACGACAAAACTGGCGCGACGAAGAATAAGGCACGGCCGTACTGGCGGCTCGTGTGCGCAATTGGCAATACACGTAGCCCGAAAGCTGTGTGTGGAAGAGCGAGAGTATCGAGAGCAGAGAGAAGCTATAAAGGCTAATTGGTGAAAAGCTCGGCAGTTGCAGTGGCGGCAAGAGCTAGAGTGCGAGAGAGAGTGAGAGAGAGAGAGAAAGCTATACTACGCGGCTTAAATCAAGATCTTGGAGTGTTATAATGGATAAGTAACGGGCGCCGCGGCGATTGGCTCGCGCGCGAGGGACGCTCGCCCCATCGATTTCTCGGGCTCGACCAATGAAAACGCGGTGCGATCATCCCCCACCACTACCCCTGCGTCGGCCGGCAAAACTCCGCCCCGTTGTGTCGTACTGCGCTAGTATACAGTTGAAGGGGCGAGCTATACACATCCGGCGCGCCGACGACGGCGACGACGACGACGACGACACAGACAGAGAGCAAAGCGCGTGCGGTTTTTCGCGCCAGTTAACGAGTCGCCGCCATATCTGCTACCCACTCCTATAGCCTTTGCCGCTGCGATTGCCAGCGTCTAACGAACAATATATGGCGCGAGGGACACACGATTGAGCTCGCGTTTGATGGACTGTTCGATTGCACTCAAGTTCGCTTGGGGCGCGAGTTTGATTGTTTTACAAAGTGGTGCGCGAGTTTGTGTGTGGCTATACGTCCGGCTGGCTTTGCCCGTGTACACGCGTGCAATAGAGTTCGGTCGAGTCGAGCTTCTGGCAGAGGCATGGAACTCCATTGTTGGCTGCGCAGATGAATTGACACTGCGAGATCCGACGGCAAGACGGAGCGAGGCATGAATTGTAATCAGAGATTCGCGTAAGGCTTTCCAACGGGACGAAATGATAGGTTGCGCAAAGTGTAGCAGACACTCGACAGTGATTCTAAGGTGATAAAATTGTATATTTGCAGTCGCGTTTCGCGCCTACAAGAGTTTCATCGACCGGTGTAAATATGTGCTTATATCTTTTGTTAGTATGAATGTTTAAATAAGAAAAATTAGCCCGAATTCTTGTCAAGCACGCGCGAGGAACGAAATTCTAATTGCAATAATGTCAGGCGAAACGGAAATCGAAGTGTCGGTAGTGTCGGAGGAGGACCTCGACCTGGAAAACTCGCGAAGTAGCCCAACGCCGGATGCCAAATCGACCAAATCGAATTCGTTTAGCTTCGAAGTGAGCAAAGCAACGTTACGGCCGGCATGCAATCCACAGTACACGTCGTTCAGTATCTCGAGTATATTGGGTCGTACGGAATCGCCACCGTCGGATTCGGCATCCGCCGAGCGTGCATCGCCACCGCCGCCCTTAACACTTGGCAATCATCACTCGAGAATATTAGCGGCTAAGAGTGAAGCTGCCATTGCTGCTAATAATGCAACTAGTCCACTTACTGCTGCGAGCTTTGCCGCTGCGAGCGAAGCTAGCAATGCACTTATTGGACATCAAGCATCTGCTGATCTTACTATGTTGTCTAGGTGAGTTTCAAGTGGTTATCAGTGTAAGAGCTTCAATCGTCTACCGACCACTATTACTGCAAAACTACAATCTCAAATATTTATGATAGTGGCTAATAAATATATTGATTATAAATTTAATATTCAAAACAAATGAACAAAATATGAAATGCAGACACGAAAGTTTTTTCGAATAAATGTTAATATCATTGACATTTTATATTTTAATTTGTATATTCCTCATATATCTGTAACCTAAGGCATATATCTAGTGGTACAGTACCAGAAGTATTTTGTAAAACCAACTTATTTTTGTATTAACATTAAAAATTAAAATTATAATCGAAGTTTTCAAAAAATGTTTTTAATTTTAAATGGTTCGCAGCTGACTCTTTTAAACGTAAAAATTTTACAATAAAACATTAATTTTATTATCTCAATATCAATCCTATATTTTCATTTACACTTGCAATATAAAAAAAACAATAAAAGGTTTTGAAAAAACGCAAAGAAAATAGCTTTATCCGACGGGATCACGCACGATAACCGAAATAAAAAATTTACGACCGATCTCTGTATTCGCATATACCCAATCCGAGGTTTAATCTATCCGCAAAAACCACATTCGTCAAAAATAAATCAGAAACTTTTTAGTTGCGTTTTTTTTACAACTCTATGTAGATGCATGATAAAAGTCACGAGTGCAATATATCAATGAATGAAAGAAAGATTAGAAAAATATTCAATATCACTTGGAATCCGTAGCGGCGAGCGGTGGCGTCTATTGAATTGAAAAGGCCCGTCGCGAGCCATCCTTAATCACAGTTCTCTTCTCGTAGCTGAAAATTAAAGCGAGCCTCAGATTAAACCTTCACTTTCGACGAAAATCAATTTCCAATTCGCTCGCTTCTATCTCTTTCGATCCCTCTCTCCGCGTCGTTTTCAAAAGACCTGTAAAAAAAAGCATCCTTCAACGTTAATAACCCTATAGACTCGTTTTTTTTTGTTGCGAGTGTGTGCGGGAGAGGTAAAACGGCAAGTTCAATTTTCCATGAATAAAAAGCTCTCCGTACTAATCTGTAGAAGAGAGAAAGAGAGAGAGAGAGAGCGTATGTCGGGTGTATTGATCAAAAAAAAAACTTCAGTCGATGGACGTCCGCGCGCCCACCTTTTACTCTTTCTCTTGAAAAGGTAGAACGAGAAAGAGAGAGCAAACACGAACCACAATATCCAGCTGAATAAGAGCCAAGCGCATCCTTTCCGCTTGTTATGCTTGCTCTTTTCTAGCGCCACCAGTTTCCTTTCTCTCTCTCTCTCTCTCTCTCTCTCTCTCTCTCTCTCTCTATATATATATATATATATATATATATATATACGTACATCTATAACGCCGTGAGCTTTTCTTTCCTTACTTCTTTCTCCACGCTTTGGGAGAGAGCCACTCGCGCTGATTCTCTATCCCGTAGTCACAGCTTTGTATCCCTCTCTTGCTGATATCTATCTCTTTCTCTTGTATGCATTACCTTTTTACTTGTGAAATTTTCTTTTCCAGAAATTCATCCGTTCGATAGGATAGCGCATGCTAGACCGAACGAACGCTTTTGTTGAGGTTGAACAAGATTTTGAGGTTATAGTCAATGATTAAATGAACTTACATAAGTTTAATTCAATTAAAAATTACTGAGTGTTTCTTTCTAAATCGTCGGGTGATAGTACTTTCGACTTTATGATTTTTAAAACCTTTAGATGCAAAAGAAAAACCGCCACAGGCACTTCCACATATGTCGAGGTTAGTTTTAAATTTACCTACAAGATTTCAAAGTTACATTACTTTTGTCAAATTAATTACTATCATGACAAATATGCCACTTCTCGCTTCGATTCAATGTCTATCGCCACGAATGAGAAATCTCTTTATAATGATGACTTCAAAAAGTGACATATGATGATGACAAGGGTCTCTGGCACTTACCATTATCTTGGCAAGAACTTCATCAAATTATTCGTGTTATTTGTTTTTATCACTCTCTGAGAGAATTAACCAACGCATTAATAAACATTATCTTTCGTTCTCACCCGGACAATTATTCGCTAGCGCGTGCGCAAACGCAAGAGTAATTTTAATCACATCAAGAGTCAAATGGATCTTAATTAATGTGCGACTAAATAGAGGCATAATTAGGGGATTAGTCGCGTGCGCGAACGCATAAACACATACACACACAAAGCGATTAAATCATCAGACGAAGCACAAATGAAAGGTGCAGCGAGCGCGACCGAATCAGATTTTATCTATGGAAATTAGCTTATCCCATCTGCGCCCGCGTGAGTGTGTGTTTTGATCGATATCCTCATGCACTACCTAAGTGTCGTTTTTCATTACCCGCGGACGATGAGGGACGTCTTTTTTTTTTGTCGAGCGCGACAGAATGAGCTGATTATTCTCCGAAGGGGATTGCACATACAAGTCAATCAACAATTCTCTCTTTCACCATTGACAGGCTTTCTTTAGTTTTTTGCGGTTTTTGACGTTAATCAGAGGAATAACGTCGCTCTTGCTTTTTCTTTTATTTGAGATATACTTTCTTCCGTTATTAATAGATTAGAAAATATGTTGATCCATGAAGGAGAGCTACGTTTCGTCAGCAATTTCATTGACTTCATCAGACTTTATTGAACAAAAAACATACAAAATGTCATGCTCATGTTGAAACACAGATTATTAAACAGCAATCATACAAATTAATGCCAATCTTTACCTCGTTACTTAATATAGCATTATATGTAGGGTAGAGAATTTTTTTCACTGCTAATCAAAACTGATTTGAGAGATTATACTCGGCAATACTAGGCAATGTTGACATCTCGCTTCACTCATTACAGAATCGGATTAAGTACTTAATTATAATCTCTTGTAAAAAAATTCAACAGTGGTTTATATGTCTGATTTAGAAAATGGTACATCTTTTTTTTGTTTAGTTTTAGCGACGTTCTTGTTTATTTAAAAATCTGCTTTTGTTACGAAAATCAATACTAAACTTGATACGCGAAGCTTTATACAGTTTAGTAAATTAAGACAAGCACGCGCGTATTAATGGAATTAGGATTGCTCTACTTTCAGATCATGTATCGTATCTATAAATACAATCGTATAGCACTAACTATAGGAACTTCTTTAATTTTTCTCTGGTGATTTCAATCTGCATGACTTTGAAATTTTAAGAAAATCTTCAATTATAAGATTAATAAATTATTTTCCAGGCTTCATTAAAGTAATTTGCCAATCTTGCATAATGCTATTTTATTTTTTAACTTTAAAAGCATATAAAAAATTGATTTAAATGAATGAACTCATGAAAAATCATCCAGAGGTGATCCATTTGAAAAAAAGCATAATTTCTACGGTCTCATACCCGTAATCTTTGACATATCACGCAGAGTGGCCACAAAACTGTCCATCGCATTAAAAAAAAATCTTTGCGGGAAGTAATAGCCCTCTCGCATCACTCATTAAAGGCATCGCGCACCCACGCAGATGTAGAGGCGATGTCCAGGCGCGCTTCCTAATAAAACCATAGCATAGCCGCAAGGGGAGAGCGCGAAGGGTGACTGCATTATAGATATACGCTGCTGCGGGGGTGGCGAAAATGGACTGTGTGTGCGGGGAGTACTCTTCTATCGGAGTAATGGGCCTATTAGGCTGTCTCATTTAATAACGCCAACAAGCGCCTGCCTCTTATGTTATGCGTCGCGCCCTATCCTTTCTGCCGTAGAGTGAAAAGTGATGGGAGATTATGGGATTTTTTTTCGAAGCACATCGGATTAAGCTAACTCTCCTTCCCGTGGTTTGAGTGATGGAGTTTACTTTGTGATTTCGCGCCATGCGAAGGAGAGATTCCAGATTATTCCACATATATTTGTAGCGCATCGCAGCTGTTAATGGTTTATATTGGTTTTACTTATTTTGATCATGTGCAAGTTTGCTTATCTATCCAGTAGTATCGATCCGTGTTCAGTCAGCCGTGATAATTCACAAGTTTTACTATGAAATCTTAACTACGCAGTTGGCAAAGTTTTTTAAATCGTGTTACATTCCTCGTAGCATAAAGTAATCAGTTGTTTAAAAAATTTATTTTCAACGTAAGACGTTTTCCTTTTATTACGAGAAACATTTTTCGTTACAACATTCAAAAGATTCCTATTTGCAGTACAGTGAATGTTGTTTCCATAAAAAATTTTTACGAAACTTTATGATAAAGTAATCAGTTACTTCAGAAACAAAATAACAATAATAGCCAATAATCACTTTTCTCCTGCCCCCTGCAAAACCATCATACATATATTCTTGGAAAAGATCAGAAAGATGAGCCCATAATAGCCCTTCGTCGCGTTGTCGGGGAAAGAAAGAGAAAAAAAAGATCACACAGCAGCAGCACACGCGCCTCGAGATAATTTTATCAGATTTGTCGCTTCCCGACTGGTGGTGGCGGTGCACTCATACGCCCCCTCTTCTCTCTCTTTCTCTCCGCTCGGATTGCTTGTTTTCCAGCCGCTTTACCATTTGATTAAGTTCTCGAATGCTGAAAAGGGGATCGTTACGATTACCATCATCGTGCGTGCTTCGCCACTGGAAAATTACCGGATTCGAATAGTTAACAGTAATGGGATTCATTGGATCGGTGATGGCTCGTTTTGAAAGATTTAACACTTGGATATAGTTTTATTTATTTCAAATTTATAGAAGATTTAGCGTGGCAGAATTTTTTTCCCAATGGTCGATCTGTAACTATCAAACGAACAATTTATCCCAAATCGATCAAGCATTAACGCTTGATCCATTGTGTGAAATTCTTCCCAAGTCGAGTAAAATGTCTTGCTCCAGCTTCTCGCTTACTCCTCGCTCATAATCGCGAGCGCTTAAAGCACTCAAAGTACTCGGCTCTTGCCAAAGCGAGGCAAAGAGCAAGGAATCAATTAACCGAAGACGTGCATAATGGATCGATCGGGCGTTTTAGAGTCTT